TTTAGACCTTAGCAAATTAATGCTTTTTCAAAATGCATGTTACAAAGGGGGAAAAAGGAAAAATTCTTAGTGAAGGAGAAAAGTCTGCACTTGTCTCAGTCTAAAGTAAAATAGGTAGCAAGAGTGCTAGTAGCTCCACTAAGTCAAGGAAGAAAATTGTAGGAGGTAAGAAAAGAACAGTATTTTTTGCCCTTTGAGTCATTGTGTAATTCTATGAGAGATCAAATGAAGGATGTGAAATTAGAAAATATAGGATAGGATATGTGTGGCTACAAACAAGGAAAATGTTAGTTTTTTCCCCTTTTTCTAGTTCATAATTAACAGCATCATAATTATTATGAGAAGTAATTTGTCAAGGTCCCTGAGCCTTCCTGCATACTTCTGCTGGATATGCCAGGAATGAAAAGCTACCACTTCTGCTCACCTAGACAATTCATCTAAGTACATAAAGCTGGAAATCTTAAGAGGGTATGTAGAGTACCTTCCCTGACAAAGAGCAGGCTTGCTTTCTACCTATTAAAAAGACTATGAATTTCTCAAGCTTTAAAATTTTATGGTTAAGGCTGAGAATGTGGCTCAGTGCTAAAGTGCTTGCCTTGCATTCATGAGGCCCTGGGTTCAATTCCTCAGCACCACATAAGCAGGAAAAAAAAAGCCGGAAGTGGCGTTGTGGCTCAAGTGGTAGAGCGCTAGCCTTGAGCTGAAGAGCTGAGGGCCAGTTGCTAGGCTCAGAGTTCAGGCCCATGACAGACAAAAAAAAATAAAATAAAATAAATCATTTATTCCTAAACCAGTAGTTTCATGTCTCTATTACCGCACATAAAACTGGGCAAACCAGTGTGTTACCTTCCAAGTAGACAAGAATCTCATATGCTTATGGTAAGTTATCCTTCTCATCAACAACAGTAGCATAATAATTCACAAAAATAATAGTATCTATTATGGCTTACTATGTGCCATATGCCACTGTTTTATGCATAGCCACAAAAATTTTACTAAGACAAATGTGGATCCCAAGGTCACACATTCTCAAGGTGTCCTGGTCATTTCTAGTGTTCTTGTTTAGATTCTCCATTATCCCTTATCTCTATTTCCTTACTGTTATTCCTTATTCTTTTTTTCTTTTTTTATTGTCAAGATGTACAGAGGGGTTACAGTTATATAAGTAAGGTAATAAGTACATTTCTTGTCAAACTTCTTACCCCTTCCCTCATTTTTCTCCTACTTTCCCTCCCTCCCCAATCCCCCCCCCAAGTTGTACAGATCATTTCCAACGTATTTTCTTGTGAATATCGTTGTTGCATTGGTTCCCTGCTTATCCTTTTTCTCTCCATTGTGTTGTTCCCCTTCCCTTCCCTAATTCAGATAAATGTATATACAATACCAGGGTTCCAAACTCAAATACAGTGACAACATGGTATATACCATTGGGGGAGGAACATACAAAAGAAACAAGAAATCATATAGTATATTAAAAACAACAACAAAGAAAAACCTCTTGAAGGCCATCACATAAAAATAATGAAACTACTACATTTATTAGGCCAGGTGCTAGAGCCAGCCTTTATTCACTAACTGAGTGATCTTGGGCTATTTACTTAATATCTTTATGTCACAATTTGTAGCAGTGGGGACAGCAATAGCACCTACCTCCTAGAATTGTTGTGAGGCTGAGAGGAGCTAGTACAAAGTTCAGCATTCACAACAGGACCAAACATACATAAGTATTCAAAAAGAATTAACTTTTCTCTGAGGCAGAATAATACTGAATGATCTTTTCTGCCATATAATTCCCCAATTTATGGTGATCATATTAACCACCTTCAAACTTATCATCCTCCTTAATGTGGTGCATAGCATTTATAAGACAGGCACTGGACTTATATGAAAATAACATTCCAGTTCAACAAAATAATCCATTCTAGCATGGACCTAACACTGCTAGAGGCAACAAGGAATGTAAATCAAATTTAAGACAGCCCTAGTCATAAAGAACCTCATAGTCTATTGAAAGAGTTGAAATTAATACACAACAAATCATTTGATAACAATTGATATCACATTGCTTACAAAAATTCATAACAGTAGGAGTTCAGACAATGTGAGGGCAGCTTGGCATAAGCATCCATGTAAGATTCCATCTGGTAGGAGTAAAAAATGTCTTAAAATAAGACATTTTTCTTGGGGAAAAAAGGAGGGACAGTTGAAGACTATCTTTGTTTAATACTTTATAGTTTATCCAATTTTTTCCTGTACATAGACTCATTTTATCTTATGGTAATCTTTTAGTTGAGATACCAAGAGAATTGTTATGTTCATAAGTGAATTCTGATGCAAATGATGGTTAAGTAATTTGCCCAATTTCTGGAGTCAGTAAATAGAAGCCACTTACCAGTCTCACAAAGCCTCTTCCAGTAAGGAATTTACAACTGTTAATTATAATTTGCATGAAATATAAAAATAAACATGTTAAAGATTTTATTTAAGGGCTATGGATATAGTTCAGTAGTAGTGCAGGTGCTTAGCATGTGTGATACTTTGGGTTTAATTCCCAGCAATCAAAATAAAGAAAATTAATATTTTATTTAATTCATTGTTTATGAGAGAATTGGTAAGAGACAATAACCAGTTCAAATGATTATTCAAAGATATGTGTATTAGTATGGAGTAAATGAAGACAGAATTTACAAATGGATGGGAAAATTGGTATTCTCCTGGTTGAAGAGATACAAGTCAATTGAACTCCTAAAAGATTTTCTTTTTTTAATTAGAATCAATTCGTTATCCAATGTGAGAATCTGAGTAGGCCAGGAAGAACATTAATAATGACTAGGACACCTTGACATGTCCATATATGCATAAAAGGTCCCTTTAATAGACACCTTCCTCTATCACGCTACTTCATACTTCCTCATTTCCCAAAAGCAATCTAAGCATGCTTCATTGCTTCATTTTCACACATCCACAAAAGGTATTTTGACCATATTTACCCTTCTTCATTCCCAAGGCCGAATTTGTATTGAACTTAGTTTTGGTTCCTGAGTTTTCTTCACTTTAAGAATTCTAAAGTAGTTCAACTAAAATGAAAGACTGGACTTTGATAGGCCAAAAGAATCTGCTCTGTAGAAAGCATAGTTTCCATAAGCAATACCCAGTAATCTTTGTGGTTTATTTCAGATTTCCCTATCATTCTGGGTTGAAAATGTCCCCCTAAATTCAGACATGGGAAAGTTAATGTTCAACAATCCAATACTGTTGAGAAATGGGAACTGAAAATGCATTTAGGTGCCAGGTATGGTGGTGTAACCTACTTGAGAGGTGAAGATAGGAGAACTGTGGTCCAAGGACAACTAAGAGGAAAGTGCAAGATCCTATATGAAAAACAATCTGAAAGCAAAAGGCCTGTGTTTCTCAAACAAGTTTAAGGTTCAGAGTTCAATCTCCATTACTGCCAACAAAAAGTGATTCAGGGCTGGGAAGATGGCTCAGTGGTAGTGTGCTTGCCTTGCATGCATGTGGCCCTGGTTTTGATTCCTCAGCACCACATAAGCAGAAAAAGCCAGAAGTGGAGCTATGGCTCAAGTGGTAGAGTGCTAGCCTTGAGTTGAAGAGCAGAGGGACAGTGCCCAGGCCCAGAGTTCAGGCCGCGTGATGGACAAAAACAAACAAAGTGTGATTCAGTTGAGGCAGCACCATCCTCAAGAATAGATTAAAGCCCTTATTGCCAAAATGTGTTTATTATAAAATTCAGGGAATTCTTCTCTCTTTTCCTATTTTTCACATGTTCTCTCATAAATCATGTTTTCTTCTATGTTATTATGCAGCAAGAAGGTCCCCACCAGATGCATGGATCTCAGGCTTCCAACTCTCCAGAACTATGAGCCAAACAATTGTCCATTGTTTGTAATTTATCCAGAGAATCAGTCTATGTCATTCAGTTACAGCATTAGACTAAGACAGTTGTATACAGAGTTTCAGACACAAACTAAGAATGATGTAAAAGCCAATGATACAAGGCCAGAGACTTAAAAGTAGAGGTTACAGATACCTGGTAACATACTATTTGCTCTCACACTAGTCTGGAGCTACTTGGGAACAGAAATGTAATCAAAATATAATGAATGAGTTTGTGTAATAAAGACATTCAGAAAGGTCTACTCAAGGGAGGCGTAAGTGGGAGATTTCAAAGTTACTAAGTGGTAGGATGGTGGTGGGTACGTTCCAGGTTGAATGATTTTATAATGATCTAAATTCAGGCTTTCAACTCATTAGCACAGATTTTATTTTTAAAACCCTAGTAAATAGTAATTAATTTTATTGTATCAACACACATATTTTTCTTATTGCTAGGAAGTAAGGGTACTAAGTGAGCAGAGAAAACATTTATTGTCCTCATCAAGGATCTGTATAGACGTGCACTGTAAAAATCACTTCATTTAAATACTTGAACATGTGGCTCAGCCTTTAAAATATAAGTATGTTGATATCAGGTGATAAACTATTAATATCTAGATGTGGCTTTCTATGGAGACAGCTATCCGTATGAAATAATCCTTAAGAGTGATTAAAAACCTCTTAATTTCTAGCTTTCCTTTTGTGATGCACTATCCACCATTAGTCTTATTTTTCTTGGAAAAGAGTTAGCTGTGAAGATAAATTTTAAAATATGGAATATTCTTGGGATTAACAAAAGGGTGGAATAAAAGATCTAGAAATGCAGGCCTGAGGAGGGAGGGGGGAGATGGGAAGGGATGGGAAGGGGAAACAAAGGAGGAGGCAACAATGCTTGATAAGAAATGTACTCATTATCTTGCCCATATAATTGTAACCCCTCTGTATGATATTTTCACAATAAAAAATAAGCAAATAAAAAAAGAAATGCAGGCCTGAGAAAAATGCCACATGGGCAGCTGTGGAAATTCCTGGGGGTGCCCTGGGAGCCCTAAGGCCTGGAAAGTGTCAGTGGCAAGGAGAGCATGAAAGAAAGAATGGATGCATTTAGCACTTGTGTGTATGTCCTTGTTTAATATGTAACAAACCCTTATAGACAGGTGCAAATAGTAAATCCTCTTTTGCAACCCAGAACTCATTGCTGAGTATGAAATTTTGGTACATTTAGGAAGGAATATGATTCCTATAATAGTTGGCAGTGTGGGGGTATGTTAACTCACACAGGTTGAATCTGAGAATAAAGTTGATGTAAAAGTAAAAAAAAAGAATGGAAGCCTGACTGTACTGCACATTTGGGATGAACTATTGACAGTATGATAAAATGCATTAAGAATTGCTCTGAGGTCTGGGAATGTGGCTCAGTGGTAGAGTGTTTGCCTAGCATGCATGAAGCCCTGGGTTCAATTCTTCAGTACCACATAAGCAGAAAAAGACAGAAGTGGTGCTGGAGCTCAAGTTATATAGTGCTAGCATTGAGCAAAAGAAGCTCAGGGACAGTGTCCAGGCCCTTAGTTCAAGCCCCTGGACTGGCAAAAGAAAAGGAAAAGGAAAATAATTGCTCTGAACAGGGAGCGGCTCATATCTGTATTCTTGGCTACTTGGAAGACAGAAGAAGCATCACTTGAGTCAATGAATTCAAGGCCAGCCTGGGAAACATAATGAGACCCTATCACAAAAGAGAAAAAAAAGAGAATAACTCTATAAAAGAACTGAGTTTCAAAATACAAGTCACCTATTTTATGAGGCATCCAAGTTTCCTAACATTAATTTGTTATTGGAAAGTATTGGGTTGAGAATTGATACTCTGCAAAATGCTGCAAATCAGGTAGTACAAGAAACCAAGAGAAGCAGGAAAACTGGTTTGTAATCCAAGGTAAGAATGTGAGTAGAAATAGTCAAGGGAGCCATCATTACTGCCATTTACACCTTCATCATCTTGGGGATCAAAGCAGTCATTAATTACCTACTGGTGCAATGAGCTATATAGTAAACCGGGAAACATGTGTGCACTCCCTTCTCATATGGCCTTTGGACTGGGGCAGACAATTTCATGATGGATGTGTAACAAACACCATATACAACTTTAGACAATGGATATCTTATTGTAATATAATGAATTGTATAGCTTCATAGGTACAAATAAGAAATTAAATGCATTTGCTAGAGTTGAGTGAAGGACCTAGAAGGTCTGCTTATGGTCACTTTCTCAGGACATGTCTGGTGGTATTACACTCTCAAGAACTTTTTATGTAATGAAGAGAAGTCTGTAGAATATTCATAGATGGAAATTCAATGAATAGTAAAATAATACACCAGAAGTCAACTTCCATTCCATTTATAACACCCAGATTCAGAGATTCAGATCACCAGGTCATTAAGTCCAACAGAGCATTTTCAGCAAAGATAATGATTCTATGGAATCAACCTGGATACAGGTTACTTACTGAGAGAAACTGAGGGCTACTACGTGAGCAGAGAAGACATTTTATTGAGGCCCTTAATGAAGGGTTTCTCCAGACATACACTTATGAAATTACATTTCATCCAAATATGTGAACATGTGGCTCAGCCTTTAAAATATAATTATGTGAGATGATACAAACATTAACACATAAGGCCTGACCTTCCATGAAGGCAGCTATCATCATGGTGGGCCTTACATTCTCTTGAGAGAACGTACACTAGAGGGACCACGGGGTTTCCCCATGGTCTACCAACTGAAGAAAGGCTTATCTGTATAATGGAGTTACGACAAGAAACTGAGAACGTTCTGTGATGTCATATCCAGGTATTTATTTTAAGAGTTTCATTGTGGTCTGCTGTAAGTTTGAGCAGGCCTGAGCCTGTGTCTGCGTGCTAGTAACTAGGTGGGTGAGGTTCCCTAGTTTAGTGGTGAGATGAAGGACCAGAAAGACAGTTGATGTCAAACTTCTCAAACATGTCCTCCAGTCCAGTTTATCCCTGATGTTTTGATCACTGTAAGATCCTAGTATTCATGTCTCACTTGCTTTCATCTTAGGTAGTGAACAAGTTGAGTTATTGATTGTTCTCTTAAAACCGAACAGAACCATGAGTGGATTGATTAGGGAGAAGTGGTGACAGCTGATAAAGAAGATGGGCAGAAAGCTCCTACAATGTCATGAGGAAGCTCTCAAACTTTACTGTCTTCCATCTTCTTTTCTACAGTAGATACCATTAATATACACTATTTAGTGCTTCTCAAATTACATTGAAGGAATAGCTCTCTTCTTAAACAACTAAATCTAATCTATCATGACTTTGTAAAAGTTAGGATTATAATGCACATTAATTGTACATATTAATGCATTTGACTGTGCCATTTTCATATATACCTTTATTGTGCTTTGATTGTATTTCATTCTCCCTACCAATCTCTCACCCTCCTCACTCTTCTGCTTCCCCTAGTCTGCTTCCCCTTGCCTACTAGTATCCTACTATTTTCTTGTACCTTTCTTTTATTCTACCTTATAAATATGAAAGAAGCATATGATTTTGTCTTTTTCTGTTTGTTATTTAGCTTAACATGATAACCTCTAGAACAATCCATTTTCATACATTTGACATAATTTCCTTCTTCATTAAGGCTGAATAATACTCCATTGTGTGTGTGTGTGTGTGTGTGTGTATGTGTGTGTGTACTCCATTGTGTGTGTGTGTGTGTGTGTACACACACACACGCACAATATTTTCTCCCATAGGCTTACTAGCAATTATTAGTTTTTGTTTTCATTCCATTCTAACTAGGGTGAGACAGAATATAACCTCAATGTAGTTTTTACTGTCGTTATAGTCGTTTATGACATAGGATCTTATACTGTATCCCAGACTGCCCTCAAACTCTTGGTCTTCTTGCTGCCATCTCCCAAGGGCAGGGACTGGACTTGTGTTTCACCATACCTGGTTTAAATGTAATTTTGAGTTTTCATTTCCCTGATAGCTAAATGTATTCGACATTTTATGATACACTTATTGGCCAATTATATTGCTTCCTTGGAGAAATGCCTGCTCAGATTTCTTATCTACTTATTGATAGGATAATGTGGCTATTTTTGTTGTTAAGGTTATTGACTTCTCTGTACATTCTGGACATCAATCATCTAGCAGATGAATGGCTGGGAAAGACTTCCCAACTTGTATACCATTTCTTCATTCCGTTTACTGTTGATTTTGTTTGGGAGAGACTTTTTTTGCCAGTTGTGGGGGCTGAACTCTGGGCCTGGGCGCTGTCCCTCAGCTCTTCAGCTCAAGGCTAGTGCCCTACCACTTGAGCCACAGCACCACTTCTGGCTTTTTTCTGCTTATGTGGTGCTGAGGAATTGAACCTAGGGCCTCATGCATGCAAGGCAAGCACTCTACCACTGAGCCAACTTCCCAGCCCTTTGGAGAGACTTTTTAAATTTACAAATACTATTTGTTAATTCTTCCTATCCCTTCCTCATCAGAAAATCATTGCCTTTGTTGCTATCTTGAAGAGTTTCCCCTAAGCTTTTTCTAGTAGTGTTCAAATTTGAGGTCTTCCATTCTGACCTGATTTTTGTACAGGGTGAAAGACAAGAACAGGGATCGAGTTTCAGTGTGGTACATATGAAAATCTAGTTTCCCCAGCACCATCTGTTGATTAGCTTGTCATTTCTTCAATGTATGTTTTTTATATCTTTCTTGAGAATGAGATGATTGTAGCCATATGGGTTTATTTCTGGGTCCTCTATTCTATTCCATTCTATTCATTGTGTTTTTATGCCAATACTATGCTGACTTTGCTGTTATGGCTCCATATTCTTAATTTGAAATCAGATATTGCTCTTTTTACTCAGAATTGCTTTGGCTATTTGGGATTTTTTGTGCTTCTATATGAATTTTAGGATATCTGAAGGGCTCTTTGAAGAATGTTATTGGTGTTTTGATGGGAATTGCACCGAGTCTGCAGATTGTATGATTATTTTCACAGTATGAACTATGTTAAACATGGAAGCTTTTTTCCATCTTCCAATATCTTCTTCAATGTCCTTCTCCAATGTTTTATAGTTTTCATTGTAGATATTTTTAACCTAAAGTATTTCTAAATATATTTGGAGATTATTGAAAAATGAGATTATTTCCCTGATTTCTTTGAGTTGGTTATTGATGTATAGGTAAGCAGTTTTTATGTTGAGGTCTGTATCGTGCCACTTTGCTGAATTTATCAGTTCAAAGAGTCTTTTGGTGTCATCTTTAGGGTTTTCTAAATATAGAATCATAGCATGTGTGAATAGATCATTTGGTTTCTTCTTTTCCTGTTTCTATCACTTTTAGTTCTTTTCCTTACCTTATTGTTCTGGTAACAATTTCAAGTACTATATCTAACAAGAGAAGTGAGGATGGACACGTTTCTCTTGTTCCTCCTTTCAGGAGAAATGACTTCAGTTTCTCCTCATTCAGTATAATATTGACTATGGGTCTTTTTCATTTATAGTTTTTATTATGTTAATGACTGATCCATCTACACATAGTTTTTTCAAGACTTTTTTAAAAATCATGAGAGATGTTGAGTCTCCAACACTTTTTGTTCAACTATTAAGATGATCATGTGGCTTTTATCCTTCATTCTGTTTACATGATATATTATATATATTTACTTATTATTTATTTTTGGCTATAGAAAGGTTTGAATTCAGGGCCTTGCACTTGCTAAGCAGATGCTCTACCACTTGAGGTATACCCAAACCCCTTTCTTGTGCTTGCTTTAGTTATTTTTTTTCAGGAAGGGTCTTATATTTTTGGGCCAGAGCCAGCTCCAGACTTTTTCTGCCTATGGCCACCTACGTAACTAGAATGACAGATATACACCACTATGCCTGGCTTATGGTTTGAGATCAAGGTATCTCTAACTTTTTTTAAAATCAGGGCTAGCATTATCCATGATCCTTTCAATCTCTATCTTTCTGAGTAGTGGGAATTACAGATATTAGTCACTATGCACAGAGAGGTTCTTTGCTTGTCCTATTTATTGGGGTTTCTAAATGTCTTCTGTACTTGGATGTCAATTTCTTTACCTAGATTTGGGGAATTTTCTACTATAATTTAATTGAATAGTTTTTTTTATACCCTTAAGCTTTATCTTGACTCTTTAATCACTTTTGATTATTCATATGTTTGATTTTTAAATTTTATCCCATATA